AAGTTTCGAATCGGATCAGTCAGTTTTGGCGAAGCCATATATACATATAGGCAGTGCATGAAGTGCAATCGGTTAGTCCGTTATCAAAACGAGAAGTAAAAGAGTGAGAGATTTAGTCCGACTTGCTCACTAAAATAATGTCAACAGTTCTGAAAATTCTATTTGCTCTCGCTTTTATGAAAATCGCTTGTGACTAGACCGAGGTCACGTGTTTGCTTTTCCGTAATATCATGCATGTTGGTCTGTATATATGGCAGGCAAATGCTAATGGTGTTTATTAGTTGAAATTTACTTAACCATATATTAAAAGGTGAATGACCTGTTATTGGAAACTCTTTAAAAATACGTCAATTGGTCAAGAATTTTCAAAGTGACAACTTTCATCAACTTTCATACCAATGACGTAATGGGATGTTATGTATAGGTTATTTGGGGCAGACTCTTGACAGAATTTCCTCTTGTAAGAATCTCGTGTCATGGTAATGCTGTATTGCTGTACAGTCCGGCATACACACGTAAAAATCTCACAACTTGTCAACAAGATGTGTTCGCAACAGGTTTGTAGCAAGCTTGTCAACAGGTTGTAACAATGCTGTTATTTCATCAAGTTGCTACAAGGTTGTCACTTACAACTTGTTGACAAATTGTTGAATTGCAGAACGATAACAAGTTGTTGGAACAACTTGTAACAAGTCTGTTGAGCTCAACAACCTTGTAGTAAGTTGCCAACAGGCCGTTGACGACTTGTCAACAAGCTGGGAACAAGCAGTGCGAACACATGCTGTTGACAAGTTGTTGGAACAGCATTACAAGTCTGTTGCAGGTTTGTTACAACTTGTCGGTTTTTACGTATGTATGCAATCAATATAGCAAAGCTACAAGGGCTTACTATCTACCTACTTACCTAATGGATAGGACTCAGCATTTTTGTTATTTTGCTATATTTTCCACTTTAAAAGGGTGATATTGAAGCATAAACTGGTCTAATTGTTTTAAAAACATGCCTAAGCCACGACAAAGTATTCAAGGTAAATGTTTTTCGTCTTTGTTTTGTATTTTTTTACATTTGTAGCTACGAAATTGGCGTTCCCAATTTTAACGAAATTTGGGTGCATTTTTCACCGTTTAGTGCTTGAAATATTTGCTAAAATTGACTGGGAATACTTAGAGATTTCATCGTAGAATGGCGTAGTTATATTCATTTGCTCTTTCACTAAAATGTTTAGCTGTATTATTGGTGAACATGCCGTTTTTAGAATTTGGTTTGCAACTAGGTTTCAACATCCAACACGCCATCAACCCATTGAAAACATTAGGTCACGTCAGCTAGTTTCCTACACTGTTTCCTATCCATTTATTTTATTATCCATGCACACAACAAGGGCAGAGCAACAAGGGAGACTACATACAACTGTTAAGCTAGCAAATTCGGGAAATATGTACACTCTCTTGTTCCTAAAAAGCGCCCTTGTAAACGTTATGACGCTGCAGAAATGCTGACAAAAAATTGCATGGAATGTGTGTGAATGCGTGGGTTGTCACAGCGCGATAGATCGCGTGATTACGTAATTCTTCATGCCGGCGTCTGTGTCACTGAAGTGTTATCCTTAAATCCAAGAATTGTCAAGACTAGAAAGTGGCTCGCAGTATTTGAAGATAATTTTTGACTGCTTGAGTTTTGCAGTTATAAATATGCGGCCTGATGCCGTCAAGTAGAAATGTTAAACAGAAAAGCGAATTGTGAAAAATATTTATACAGTTTTACTGAGGACATATAAATTTAGGAATTTTTGGAAAACTAAGGAATAGAAATAGCTTTTGTCAAGGAATGCTTCCTATGTTTGCTACTCTTTACCGCCGTATCCAATACAGCAACTGTTTCCGTCACAGAATAGAGTTTGAACGGCGCTAGCTGCGAAAGATGTATCGCTTTCGACAGTTTCGCTTGCTTTTATGGAAGAATTTCCTTCTTCAGGTAATATAGCATTCGCGTTTTACTTTGTATATACTCGGAATTTTTAGACAGCTTGTGCACATAGTCGTTCTAAGTAGTATTCGCGTTCGAACAAGCTATATTTATATGAGCACATATTTTATGAATAATCAGTCCTTTTAAAGATACAAAAAGAAGTATCAAAGTCAGTCAGGCATGCGCATATTTTGCGATTTCAAAGACTTGAAAAAGCTATATTTTTGAAGCAATATGTTCGTCGTGTCGGGATTGTGTAAACAAAGTCATCCATCCATCATAATATTTCCGTCTGCTCTTGTACTGTACAAAATAATGGAAAATTTTACTACCAAATGAAGTGCTACACAACCACTTTGCTCTTTATAAATAGTTCATAAAGCATTTCTATGTTTATATTTCAAAATAAATCTCTACAGTTCGAGGAGCCATTATTAATAATATGCGATTATATTCTAAATTTGTATTTTGACTTCTAGATTCGGCGGCCAATCGGGACTATTTTTGAAATCGTTCTCCCTGTCGTTTTTGTTGCGATTTTGATCCTAGCTAGGTGAGTTGTTTTTTTAATCCAGACTAATTTAAAATCGTGTAAAATATTCGTTTTAAAATGCTCAAAGAGAAATTGCTTCAAGGAGCAGATGGCATTTTGGCCATTTTCACTATGCAAACAATTCCGTTGCTAAAGAGACTCGACTTTGCATGTCGCCATCGGCGAGGTTGAGTATATCTATAAAGAGTCGAGAGTATAGGTCGGGAGTAAAAGTCAAGAGTAATGCACTATTCAATTGAAACCCGAACCCCCGGGATAGGGCAGGGAAATTAACATTTTGACAATGTTAAATTTTGGTAATTTCCCCGCTACCGGGGGAGTATTGACTGTTAAAGTTACCGCCCCTATGGCCCCGGCACTTTGCAAATTTTCATGACTTGGGAAATGGGAAATCGTTGAAGTATAAAATGTCCAAAACATGTGAAGGCAATTCTTGATCTTAAACATTCATCCGCATCAAAAGTACTGAATAATCTACGTTTCGACTATCTTGCAGTCATCATCAGGAATATATAAAAAGTGAAAATATATTCCCTTTTTTTTTTAAGAAGAACTATGAGGAAACAATTCTCTGGTTTCGAAGATTCCGCCATATTGTCACAAGGATAAACTCGTTCAAGTCCACTTTCATATCAGCTGCGCGTTAGTCCCAGCTAATAAATTGACTTGTTGTTTACCCTGTACCCCGGGGGAAATGGTGCATTAAGACAGCGTTAATCCACGGCCATTCCCCCGTCAATTCCCCGCCCTATCCCGGGGGTTGGGGGGCTGGGGTTTAAAAAGTCGAGAGTCGATAGCAAAAAGTCGAGAGTCAACAAATGTCATCAGAAACAACAAAGTCAAAATATTTTTAACACAATATATAACTGTTCCGTAACAACAGCTGAACTACAAACTTTTGCATAAATATAGCTACAACAGTCAATAATAAATGACGAACAAAAGACTGGATAAGAAACTAATATCACATGTGATGTCTCCATCTTGCTAAATTTTTTAACATGTCATTTCATCAACTGCAAGGGTGGGTTGACTACAAAATTTTTGTAGTTCGCTATAACTACAGCTACTTCAAAAATATGTAGTCAGCTACAACTACTGCTACTTTTGAACAAAAGTAGTTTGCTACTGACTACAGCTACTGCTTTAAAAAATGTAGCGAACTATTTCGCTATTTCGCTACGCTATATTTTTTAGTTTTACTGTATTTGGAGCATCTACTGACTCAGGCTAAAATGTAACCTATAACAAATCGACTTACGAGTAGCAACAGTAAACACAAAGCAACATGTTTGTAATAACTACAGTGTTCAAGAGTGTAAATTGACTATTGAGTATTGATTTTAAGCAAACCGTGTCTCAATATCATGCTATTCTATCAAGTTGCTAACATTTTTAAAAAGTAGCGAATAGCGATTTGCTGTTTGAAAAGTAGTCAACTACTTGGCTACTTTTAGGCAAAATGTAGTTCGCTATAACTACAGCTACTGTTTTAAAAAAGTAGTCAAAAACTACTGGCTACTTGAAAATTGTAGTTCGCTACAGTAGCGAACTACAACTACTTCGCTACAACCCACCCTTGATCAACTGACACACTCTTCCACTGAATTTCAATGCCAGGCCTCCGGGCTTGTAACTACCATCACTTGCACTAAGGACTATGAACGTCGCAGATAAATCATTGTCTATTCTCATGACAAAGTTCTAAAAGTTCTCGGCAAGGTTTTGATATAAAATTCACACCATGTTTATCATGACATCAGTGATTCCTTCCAGTCTTTCTATTTAACAAATATAAAACATTTTCCGTGTTGATATACAGTTATATTAACACGAGTGGAAATTGGGAAAACAAGAAATTGTGTGGAAACAAGACGCCCAAAGGGGTAGTGTTTTCACACCATTTCAAGTTTTCCCAAATTTCATGAGTGTTGATGTAACTGTATATCAATATGGAAAAAAATTTTATATTTGTTTTATAATATAGCACAAAGAAACATAAAGAATGAAATTTTCCGACATTTCTGTGTTAACATTGAGTTATATCAACACGGCTCTTAGCCAATCAACGTTCAGAATTTACAAATGCTATATTATAATATTTATTATAACACTTGCAAAAAATAGCTGCATGTGGGTTCCACGCCCCCTCTAGAACAGATCTTAATTTGTCTGGTCTGAATTTTATACCTTGTTTAATTTAATAAATAATGTGTTAGCCAGCAACATAGTCCCAATATTATTGGTATCATTCAACTTTATGCAAGCACAAATATCCCTACATGCAAAACTTCACAGAAATGAAAAGTGGATTAACTTTCTCGTTTATTATTGTGGGCTATGCATGGGCTATTGGCATATTATTTATGGCATATAATTTTTCAAATCTTCAATTCTGTAGACATTTTCCCTAGACAAGTAAGATCAATATGTACATACATACTAGACATATTGCATTCATTAATCTGTATGGATTTCAATGCTCTCCCCGTGGCATGCAAAATTGTCTGGGGTTAGACAGGGTAAACCAATAAAGCAGGGGCACAATGCGACGTAATGGGTTAACTAGATACATCAGGGCAGATTAAAAGTCTGATTAGTATTGGAAAATACACTGTTTGAGTGCGGTAGTAATAATGAAAAATTGCATGCATGTTTGATGAAATGTTTATAAATATATTTGTGTGCATGCACTCACATATGGGCGTACCTGCAGGGCGCGAAATAACGGCTGGAGGGTCGGCGGTCAAGGTGACCGGCCAACTTAATTTTAGCTCGGACATACCGAAATCTGGCCGGTCAAATTATTCAGCTTAATTAAAGCAAAGCCTAGTAAAGTATACCCCTAAAAAAATGTGACCATTTTCCCAGTATAGCAGTACAAAAAGCCTTACTGTAATCAGTAATTAAAAATTCCTTCACATAAAAGACATAAAACAGCTTGTACTGTGCTAAAAGCATGGTCTTAGCTCTTAAGCCAAAGGCATGGTCATGGCCCATGGGCTTTGTGACGTACTGCGTGCGAAATCTGGTGTACATTGAGTTGTTTCCCTGCAAAATATTCGACAACATGTATGTTATGGTTCTTAATTATAATACTGTACTTGACCACTTTATTTTATTATTATTATAAAATGAAGATTAGTTTGTTCTTTTACCGAAAGTGACCGGTCAAAATGACCGACAAGGTAAGGATTTGACCGGATAACTGCGCATTCTGGCCGGACATTGTCCGTTGACCGGCCGTTATTTCGCGCCCTGACCTGTGCCACATGGCACATCTGTGCCAATTAATGTTCAATCGGCACAGTTATTAACCAATCAGAATTGAGTAATTGACTAAAATGATATTAACTTGGTTAATTAACTTCCAGTTGTCTTTCCTTTATGAGTAAAATTATCTGGCATTAGACAGAGTAAAACAATAAAGTAGGACACATTGGTTGATAATGCAACTTAATGGATAATAAGCTCCTTCTAATAGCCGGGAGTCTTGTTCTTGTGAATCATAAGCAGGCCTCGAATTTCCCTGAAATCAATCGACGGCTGACGGCAATGGCGTTAAAAATGGCCATAGAACGTAACAGCTGTCTACGGCAGTTTTGGCAGTTTCCATGGCATTTTTTCAAAATACATTTTTTCAAATTACTATTAATTTTATTGTTACTTTGGATTGCTGACAAGCTAGAAACGTGTTTACGTATTTCTTTAGTGTTTGTTATCGAAGAAAACTGAGAGTAAAATAGTAGTTTACACATGATTTGATCAACATCTGAATTCAAGTATCAAAATAGTAATGCACAGTGAATAGTATAAAAATTATACTAGGAGTTACTATCGCAAGGAAAATGCTGCCTCACCCCCCGAAGGGATCAAAGGCAGCATGCACAATTTGCTGAATAAGGGCTGTTAATATGATCCTGCTTTGCCAGGACAAGATGTGTCAGTGAGGCAGGATTATTTTGATGTATTGAAATTAAGTTATGGTGCACAATACAGCAAAAGACTACAAAAGAAAATAAGATTCAGATAGATTATAATTAACTGTAAATGAAAGGTTGTTCAGGCAACAATAATCAGAGGCGTCAGAAGCAGGGGGGGGGGGATGGTCCTAAATGTCTCTGGGCCACCCACTTTTAACAATTGTCAGTAAACGTAATAAACCACAAAGGACATTTTGTTAGCTTTAGAACTCTGTAAATCTCCTAAAGTGCAGGACATGGCATTTCAGTGAATATAGTTTTTAAATTTTCCCGGGGGACATATGCCCCTGGATCCCCTACACTGTTACCTGTCGTCACCTGCCTTCCTCCCCCACTTTTACAGCCGTTCCTACGCCCCTGGTAATAATAAGCTGCTTGAACTGCTAGATCTTCTGTACAACATTTAATTTCTGTTAACCAGCATTTGAACTTTTGTTTAGCCTTATTTCAATATATCAAAATCATCCCACCTTCCAACATGTAAATAGCCCATAAGATACCTGTTCAGGAAGTGGGAAAAATGCAATTTGAATATCAAACACCTTGCACAAAGTCGAGGGTTAGCTAAACATTCTAATTCTACTTTCTTAGCATGGCCTGCATGGACAGTATAATATGAATACTTTCAATGCTTACAATTTCTTACTTTTCCATGTATAATTATAATACTGTCTACAGGTGGCAAAGCTAGCCATAGCATTTATATTTGCATTATCCAAATGATACAGGTTTATTAGCATAGCATGACCAGTTGCCATGGCTAGCTTGCCACTAAATACTGTATAATATCATATATAGAAATACTAAGTCAGTTTTTGTCCTAATTATTGTTTTAATGCCATCCCTATCACAGAACACCTGAACAATCTGCTAATGGGGAGACAAAATCTATATTCCTTAACATTTTTTGTTTAATTAATACATCAGCTTCCGATGACACCATTCATTGTAATGATTAGGATTGTACTCAGTCAGAACTGCAAAACTATATAATAAGAAATAAATTGTGAGCATTATCGAAAAATATAGTATACCCTGAAATGTAGCAACACAGTCAAGTGAACA